GAAGTCTGAGGGTAAAGACCTCTTGTCACACACAACCTCGCAAATTTAAAGTCAGTTTTTTCGCACACTCGGGTATCACACATAACCCGTGGAAATTGTGGCTTTGAAATTATTAACTGGAGAACTATCAATCGAAAATTAATACTTCTTCGTCGCAGGAAAACGGAAAAAAAATCATTGTGGACGCGCACCGGGCTGGCCTGTGCGATCATGCGTTTATGCAATATTTCACGCCGTAATGAGATCGCTCGGAAACCCAGTAACTAGAAATGTGTAATATACTGGTCCTCGACACCTGGGAAGTTAATTGTCTATGCGGTAGTTGGACGAGGGGACATTTCGCTAAAATTTCAGATTTCCAAGTTTTCTTCTTGAGTTAGCAGTTTTCCCACCAAAAACATTCACGAGGCAGTACGTAACAACCACGTATGCCCGGATGGCTGAATTTGATAAATTGAAGCCATACTTGGGTTGGGAACATTTCTTGGGAAATTCAGCCTCCTCGCTTTTCTGGTTCCCGAGTTATCCATTTTTGTGCCAAAAACCTTCACAGGACTGTACGTGAAAACCGCTTGCGCGCGCGGCTGAGTTTGATAAATTTAAATTGTACTTGAGCGGGGAACATATCCTGAAAATTTCGACGTTCCAGCTTTCTTGGTTCCTGAGTCAGCCATTTTCGCGCCAGAAATTTCCACGGGGCCGTACGTGAGTACCACGCACGATTAGGGCCTCAATTTGGGGGCTAAATTTGAAATCTTTGAGTTCCCACGAAGACGGGGAACATAACCACAAAGTTTCAGCTTTCTAGCTTTCCTCGTCCCCGAGTTGGCGATTTTCCCGTCAAAAATTTCACCCCCTCGTGCGCGGGGACCAGACATGCGTGAGGGTTGATACCGCGATCCTGGGGTGGCACTTGGCCGGGGAACCTGACAACAAAATTTTGGCGCCGGAGCTTGCTTGGGTGCGGAGTTGAAATATCCGGACAGACACACACACACACCGGAGTCATCACAGTATGCGGTTTTGCATTTGCATATAAGCAAAAACGCATAAA